ATAAACCATCAAACTTTTGGGGCCCTTTGGGCAAAGTATTGACATTGTACCCAGATGCACAAGGTGTTGTCGGAATGTCAAAACTGTTGTGTCATGGCAGGAAAGTTTAGCACAATTAATAAATTGTTTCCCTTTTAGAATTAGGTGTTCAATCAAACATAAATAAAAAATCTGAGGGAAAGTGACTTTGAGTGGTATGGAAGATAACGTGACCAAGTGTTGCGGGAAAATGAAATGTAGTAAGACCTACTAGGGAACAGCCACTCAGGCCAGAACCGGCTGGAATCGTCTCCTAAAGAAAGGAGTAATTTGAGTCATTTAGCAATGACCCCGGGCCCGGCCGAGTGTGGAAAATACTGTTATATTTTCTGGAAAAAATACGGTAATTTATAGGTAAATAGTTGCCCTATATTGTATTTTTAAAAGAAGTATGTTATCGAAAAAAAAATGGACTTGCCATCTTGGTTTTAAATTTTGGATTACAACTTTGGGTGTAAGGGGAAGAAATTTTCGTGCTCTAGAGGTTAAAATTGGGTTGACACCTCTCAAATAAGAGGCGAAATTGTTGGATGTGCAGTCCTGCATAACTTGAGATATCAGGCGACGGACAGGACGTTTCCAGGAACTCAGATAAGCTTTCTAATTTATGTTTAATTTCTGACCAGTAAAATTTTCATAAATGTAGGCAAAAGGGGGGGGGGGGGTCCTGTACATGACACATTAATCTCCAGTCAAATTGGTGAGTGCTACACAGAGAAACTCCGGAGATTCGCTCACAGCAATCCTTGTGAGACTAAGAAAAGTTTTCCAGGAGTGTCAACCATTCTCAAAATATTCCAAGCATGTGTTGTACATGCAGCAGAGTTGTTACACTCCATAAATCTCGCCTTTCGATTCGGTGCCATTAATCCTTTAAATGCCAGGGACATGAAGTAGTGGGTCTCCCAGTAATACAAATATTACAGCTCAGTCAAAATGGTGAATTTCACAATGGTTGGAGATAGAAGACGTAAACAAAACTTCGAATTATGATGTGTGTGTGTCAAAGATAGGTAGGATAATTGATTGAAGTGTATACGTGGAAGATAGGTATTAATAGGGGGGATATTGACAAGGTCTTGAGGATATCTCTCCAAGAGAGAACCCGCAGTAATGGATTTAAATTAGATAAGTTTAGATTTAGAAAGGACATAGGAAAGTATTGGTTTGGAAATAGGGTAGTTGATGAGTGGAACAGTCTACCTAGTTGGGTTATTGAGGCTAGGACTTTGGGTAGTTTCAAATTTAGGTTGGATAAGTACATGAGTGGGAGGGGTTGGATTTGAGTGGGACTTGCACATCAGAGCTTATTTCTTGGGTAGCATTGAAAATTGGGTTGGTCAAATGTTTGTTAGTGGGATGAATTGTAAAGGACCTGCCTAGTATGGGCCAACAGGCCTGCTGCAGTGTTCCTCCTTTCTTATGTTCTTATTAACAGTAAATAAGTTTCAAATCGCATAGGAATAAATTAAATGCTGTATAGCCCTTGTGGTTTAGCGCTTCTTTTTGATTATAATAATAATAATAATAATAATAATAATAATAATAATAATAATAATAATAATAATAATAAATTAAATACATATTTGTTTTTTTTAGAGTTTTAAAGACGATTAATAAACACTGGGAACAAAACGGGCAAAATTCGTGACTTTTTAGATATTTAAAGTCCTGCTGAATGGAGATTTAAGGATTAAAAAAGAAAAATAGGAAGCAATGTAATCCTGTTCTCTGTCTCAAATATTTTTTATTCCAATTTGCTACCATTTTTTTTTTTTGAGAGAGAGGGAGGGGGTCACATATTACAGTATTGATGTGGTCTGGTACCACATTTCCTTTGTGATTAACCAGTTTTCTGCATTTTTGTAATTCTTCCACATTTCTGCTTCAGGTGTGACGTCACGTCGCTGCCGGGGCCGCTGCTATGGACAACCTCACTTACATCATACGTCCGGCACCATTCATGTGAGACCATCCAAAGTTATCGTACACTTGCTACTAATATTGTAAGAAGAGCTATTCTACAAGCATAGACTTCAAACGCTCATTGTAGGTATCCCCCACGCTCGGAGTGGGGATACGTACGTACACTTACTAGTTATCTTCATATCGTTGTAGGTATCCCCATTCACTATTCGTATCCCCGCACTCGTGGTATCCTCACACTCACTTATGTTATCTTACAGGGTATTCCCACACTCACCGTAGGTATCCTCACGCTCACTCAGTTCTTTCCACATTAATACGAACAGTCCGTGAACAAGTCTTATTTGTTCTGGACATAGTTGGGAAACTAATGAACTAGATACGTTAGTATTCAGCCCAGCTTCACACTCTTCTGTGACATTGCACATTGCATATTTTTTTTAATTTCACAGCAGTTTTTTTGCAATTTCCAGCCAATATTCTGCGACATTCATCGTGTTTACATTCCTGCACATATTAATTAAATCAGATCCAGCGTTTATGTTTAAATTTTTATTAAGCAGCTAACTCATTTATTTCATTAACACGAACACATATTGTGAGAAATTATCTGCATGAAGTTTACAGGGTATTACCTGAATTATTACATGCAAGTAATTTGGGTGAGGTAAGTGGGATTTAGTCACAGTAGGTCGCAGGACTGTCACTCCCTGGATGTTCACTCCTTCACCACACTGACAAAAAAGCTTGACCTGACATTAAATTAACAATTACAATATTAAACAACCAATAATAGTAAATTCTAAAATAGTGTGAACTGTATGAAAATTAAATGAAACGATCTCCAGAAAGGATTATGGGAACACTAATATTCACAGACAGGGTAAGAATTTTTTAATTGACACCAGGCACATGTGTACCAAAAGTTAGATAATTAAGAATTTGTATTACCACTTACCATTTATATTGTCGGACCACCCCACAACGCCTACCTAACAAATAGAATCCTACTGGCCAGCGAGAAATCTAAATTAAAGGACTAATGGCATACATACTGGATGTGTTGCATGGCGACGCCTCATTATTTCCACTATCACCACTTAATTTTGGAGGCCCCGCAAATTCTTTGTTCCTATTCTTCAACAAGCGACATTCCAGTACTTATTAATTATAGTTTGAGGCCGATCCGTTCAATTATGGCGTCGATGATGCCAGATTACTAGACGATTTCACCACAACTAGTCCAAATAAAATAAATAAATAAATAAATTCACTATGGCATCTTCCTCCCCCTGTATCACTCCGCGGCCGCTGCACACCCTCATTCACACAAGATTTCTTGAAGGGTCAAATCAGTGTCACATTTTAGTACGCAATTATATTGTATTATTCATATTTACACATGTTGAATTTAGAAAAATTATAAAAAAAATTCCACACACATTATGAATTCATAAACATTATTAATTTACTGCGGAAGCTCTAAACCTGATGAGGTGAGAGCCCCTGGGGGATGAGAAGCTATAAGGTATGATCCAAGAAAGTTCAGTTCCTTGGATCACGAGCCCCTCACTAACATCAAGGAACCTCCCTTGAGCAGACATAAATATTACGTTCAAAATGCGTACACAATCATATACATACATTAAAAAAATTATAAGCACATAAAAATATGGCTGTATTAATAAGCACATTATAAAATGCATACGTGAAAAAGTCACTTACCTTAGCAGTGATGCTGTACGTACCCATGGTACCATTCATCCAGCCAGCTGTTGTACCTACCATACCATGGTACCATTCACCCAGCCAGCCGGAAAATAATTAAAGCTGGCCATGCATATGTAGGCTTTCCTAATTTCTCCTCTTTATGATGGCAGATTGTCCACCAGAAAGACATTAACGTCGCCAAACTCCGGACTTAACAGCACCTCTGGCAGTTTTGAGGGACGTAAACAACACAAGTCTCCCTCTCTACGAATCACTTCCCCTCAAGGAAGGTTCCTTGATGTTGGTGAGGGGCTCTTGATTTAGGGAATTGGATCTGTGCTCCAGTTCCCCGAATTAAGCCTGAATGCCTTCCACATCCCCCCTAGGTGCTGTATAATCCTCCGGGTTTAGCGCTTCCCCCTTGATTATAATAATAATAATACTAATACGAATTACTTACACTTAAAAATGGCCGCATTTTGCGTATTTATCAACAAATTCTTCTTCTGTAAGAGGGCCCGTGTGACGAGTAACAGCACTGCAACTTTGTAACATGTATGTTACACGCTTAATACAGTTATCACACAGAATGGCTGGAGAAAGAGAACAGTGTGTGTCTCCCCGGTAACATGGTGGACACAGCTGATCCTTCTTTTACACTACTACCCTTGGAAAATGGTATGGCGATACAGTTAAGATGTGGAAAAAGACATTTATGTACAGTTCAGGACATTTATTATAATGAGGAAACGTCACTCGTGGCGAAACGTTTCCTCTAATAAATGTCATGAACTGTACATGTGTCTTTTCACACTACTCTTTGAGTAGGGGCGGCGTCAAGGGTGAAGTCTGGGAGGGAGGGGGATTGAAGCCTCCTACAAAATTCCATCAGCCCTTCAGATAAAAATAATAATAACGCTTCTTCAAGACCAGGCCCTTAGCCCCCTCTCCCTCTTGCAACCAGACTGTTATTCTCGTGTTTTTAGATCCGCCCTTGACTCTGCACTACCACCCCTTCCTCACAACCATCATTACCATTACTCTATACACTACTTCTGTACCACCACTAATTTGTACTGACGTACCACAGGTCGGGCGAGGGAGTGATGACAGACAGTCGCTACGAGGTTAAGATGCTAGGCTGGAACACCCCTCAAGATTACTTAGACTACGTGCACCCCTACTGGACCACTTTCCACGCTCCCAACCCCTTCCTCCACTACATGCTTGGCGTATTCTACATCTTTTTCATGGTGGCGGCGCTACTGGGCAACGGTGTAGTTATCTGGGTCTTTACAAGGTCAGTTAGAAGCTTCCGTATTGTGTTTATTACTGCTGAGATAATCTCGTTGTCATTAGAATATTCTTGATGGTACATACAATATTGCTGATGCCAAAATGAAGACTGTTGACATCAGGTTGAGAAATAAGAAAAATCTGATGTTCTCATCTCTTTTTTTTTATGTTGTTCTCCTTACCTACTAGTAGCACATGACTACACTTTCAAATGCTGTAATTCCTCGATAGGCCTAGTTGTTAGTTGTTTTTCGGCAGGTATAATCTCAAATATATCTAGTACAGTGCACCAATCATCCATATATTCCATATTATGTCTCATTCTATACCGTTAAGAGGCGCAGTTCAATTTGCAGTGTGACATTTCTTTGTCCATTTGCATCCCTGTTGTCTGGTGCAGTGCCAAAAGCCTTCGCACTCCCTCCAACATGTTTGTCGTCAACCTGGCCATCCTCGACTTCATCATGATGCTCAAGACGCCGGTGTTCATCATCAACTCCTTCAACGAGGGTCCCATTTGGGGCAAGATTGGGTGCGACACCTTCGCGCTAATGGGAGCCTACTCCGGTATCGGCGGAGCCATGACCAACGCTGCCATAGCCTTTGACAGATACAAGTACGTTGCAGCGAGGGTCATGTAGCTAGGCGCTTCGTACAACACATTGAACAACAATGATTTTTTTGTATTTGTTGAATGTGTTTAGTTTGTATGTTGAGTTGCTGGTTGTATATGCGACCGGAGGTCTAAGTTTATAGCCATTCCGTTAGAGTAGTACTGACTATAATATGCTTGGTTTACTCAGTTATGTCGTCATTTTGCCTGTTATACAAATTTTGTTGTGGTTTTTATACCTCTCATGTTAGGCATTCATTTTTCAAGTATCGATTGTCAGGGTCATTAAAGCATCAACCCACTTTTTTCCTAGCAGGCATTGTCTCGTCTTTCCTTTTAATATATATATATATGTATTTATATATTATATATATATATATATTATATATAATATATATATATATATATTTATATATATAATATATATATATATATATATATATATATATATATATATTATATATATTATATATATATATATATATATATATATATTTTTATTATTATCACACTGCCGATTCCCACCAAGTCAGGGTGGCCCGAAAAAGAAAAACTTTCACCATCATTCACTCCATCACTGTCTTGCCAGAAGGGTGCTTTTACACTACAGTTTTTAAACTGCAACATTAACACCCCTCCTTCAGAGTGCAGGCACTGTACTTCCCATCTCAGGACTCAAGTCCGGCCTGCCGGTTCCTGAACCCCTTCATAAATGTTACTTTGCTCACACTCCAACAGCACGTCAAGTATTAAAAACCATTCGTCTCCATTCAACTCCTATCAAACACGCTCACGCACGCCTGCTGGAAGTCCAAGCCCTCGCACACAAAACCTCCTTTACCCCCTCCCTCCAACCTTTCCTAAGCCGACCCCTACCCCGCCTTCCTTCCACTACAGGACTGATACACTTTGAAGTCATTCTGTTTCGCTCCATTCTCTCTACATTTCTGAACCACCTCAACAACCCTTCCTCAGCCCTCTGGACAACAGTTTTGGTAATCCCGCACCTCCTCCTAACTTCCAAACTACGAATTCTCTGCATTATATTCACACCACACATTGCCCTCAGACATGAATCTCCACTGCTCCAGCCTTATCCTCGCTGCAACATTCATCACCATGCTTCACACCCATATAAGAGTGTTGGTAAAACTATACTCTCATACATTCCCCTCTTTGCCTCCAAGGACAAAGTTCTTTGTCTTCACAGACTCCTAAGTTGCACCAACTCACCCTTTTCCCCTCATCAATTCTATGATTCACCTCATCTTTCATAGACCCATCCGTGACACGTCCACTCCCAAATATCTGGAATACATTCACCTCCTCCATACTCTCTCCCTCCAATCTGATATCCAATCTTTCATCACCTAATATTTTTGTTATCCTCATAACCTTACTCTTTCCTGTATTCACTTTTAATTTTCTTCTTTTGCACACCCTACCAAATTCATCCACCAATCTCTGCAACTTCTCTTCAGAATCTCCCAAGAGCACAGTGTCATCAGCAAAGAGCAACTGTGACAACTCCCACTTTATGTGTGATTCTTTATCTTTTAACTCCATGTCGTGCCGAATAGGCAGAATTTGCGATCTTGGCTTAAATAGCGACGCTCATCTTGCCATATAGGACAAACGAAAATTTGTGTATGCAATAATTTCGCAAAAATCATTCTAAACGTAACGAAAAAAATATATTTCATTGTATTTGTTTCGTATTAAATTACTGTAAAAGTATTTAAAATATATTTGGTAGGATTAGGCTAAAATAAATTGATCTTGTTATAAGGTTAGGTAAGTTTTCTAAGAATCTTTTGGTGCAAAATTTAAATTTTTTTACATTAACATTAATGAAAAATATATATCTTTAAACGCATAAGAGAAATTTTTAGAAAGGACTTAATTTTAAATGAGTTATTGCTAATTGACCAGTTTTACCTATTAGGCACGACATATATATATATATATATATATATATATATATTATATATATATATATATATATATATATATATATTATATATATATATTATATATATAATATAGATAGATAGATAGATAGATATACTTATAATAACTAATTACTCTGATGCATCACTCAGGACCATCGCCAGGCCGTTCGAAGCCAGAATGTCGAAGACTGTGGCCTTGTTGATGGTGCTGTGCATCTGGGCATACGCCTCTCCTTGGGCTCTCCTGCCTCTCTTTAATGTCTGGGGAAGGTTTGTTCCAGGTCAGTGAGAGAGATTATTATTATTGGGAGCGCTACATCCGTAGAGATTATACAGCGCCTCAGGGAGGGGGGTTGGAAGGCATTCAGGCTTAATTCAGGGATCAAGAGTCCCTCACCAGCATCAAGGAGCCTCTCATGAGGGAGAGAAATATTTTATTCGAGTTCTAAATGTCATCAGATCATAACCAGTCTCTCCTGCACTCTCCCAATCCCCCCCCACAGAGGGCTTCCTCACCACCTGTAGCTTCGACTACTTGACGGAAACCTCCAGCACCCGCGCCTTCGTGGGCTGTATCTTCGTGTTCTCTTACGTCATCCCCGGCTGTATCATCGTCTACTTCTACAGTCAGATCTTTAGCCACGTCAAGGCTCACGAGAAGGCCATGAGAGAGCAGGTTTGTACACTGGAATACGTTACATTATTTCATGGTACGCCAGAGTACTTCCTGGTACACTAGAGTACTTGATGACACCTTGAGTACTTCATGGTACGCTAGAGTACCTCAGGCTATGCTAGAGTACTTCAGGGTACGCTAAAGTACTTCATGACACTAGAGTACATACTTGGTGGTATACTACTGTTATTATTGCTGGTATACAGCATAACAAGTCAAGAATACGTTAATCCCTAATCAGAGATTAACGTGTATATATATTAAAATATATATATATATATATATATATATATATATATATATATATATATATATATATATATATATTATATTATATATACTATATTATATATAGAGTGAGGAAGAGCCAGTTGTGAGTGTGGGGGAAGTTCGTGAGGCAGTAGGTAAAATGAAAGGGGGTAAGGCAGCCGGGATTGATGGGATAAAGATAGAAATGTTAAAAGCAGGTGGGGATATAGTTTTGGAGTGGTTGGTGCATTATTTAATAATGTATGGAAGAGGGTAAGGGTACCTAGGGATTGGCAGAGAGCATGCATAGTTCCTTTGTATAAAGGCAAAGGGGATAAAGAGAGTGCAAAAATTATAGGGGGATAAGTCTGCTGAGTAAAACCTGGTAAAGTGTATAGTAGAGTTATTATTGAAAGGAATTAAGAGTAAGACGGAGAATAGGATAGCAGATGAACAAGGAGGCTTTAGGAAAGGTAGGGGGTGTGTGGACCAGGTGTTTACAGTTGAAACATATAAGTGAACAGTATTTAGATAAGGCTAAAGAGGTCTTTGTGGCATTTATGGATTTGGGAAAAGGCGTATGACAGGGTGGATAGGGGGCAATGTGGCAGATTTTGCAAGTGTATGGTGTAGGGGTAGGTTACTGAAAGCAGTGAAGAGTTTTTACAAGGATAGTGAGGCTCAAGTTAGAGAATGTAGGAAAGAGGGAAATTATTTCCCAGTAAAAGTAGGCCTTAGACAAGGATGTGTGATGTCACCGTGGTTGTTTAATATATTTATAGATGGGGCTGTAAGAGAAGTAAATGCGAGGGTCTTGGCAAGAGGCGTGGAGTTAAAAGATAAAGAATCACACACAAAGTGGGAGTTGTCACAGCTGCTCTTTGCTGATGACACTGTGCTCTTGGGAGATTCTGAAGAGAAGTTGCAGAGATTGGTGGATGAATTTGGTAGGGTGTGCAAAAGAAGAAAATTAAAGGTGAATACAGGAAAGAGTAAGGTTATGAGGATAACAAAAATATTAGGTGATGAAAGATTGAATATCAGATTGGAGGGAGAGAGTATGGAGGAGGTGAATGTATTCAGATATTTGGGAGTGGACGTGTCAGCGGATGGGTCTATGAAAAATGAGGTGATCATAGAATTGATGAGGGGAAAAGAGTGAGTGGTGCACTTAGGAGTCTGTGGAGACAAAGAACTGTGTCCTTGGAGGCAAAGAGGGGAATGTATGAGAGTATGTTTTACCAACGCTCTTATATGGGTGTGAAGCATGGGTGATGAATGTTGCAGCGAGGAGAAGGCTGGAGGCAGTGGAGATGTCATGTCTGAGTGCAATGTGTGGTGTGAATATAATGCAGAGAATTCGTAGTTTGGAAGTTAGGAGGAGGTGCGGGATTACCAAAATGTTGCCCAGAGGGCTGGGGAAGATTGTTGAGGGGGTTTTCGGACATGTAGAGAGAATGGAGCGAAACAGAATGACTTCAAGAGTGTATCAGTCTGTAGTGGAAGGAAGGCGGGGGTAGGGGTCGGCCTGGGGAAAGGTTGGGGGAGAGGGGTAAAGGAGGTTTTGGTGCGAGGGGTGGACTTCCAGCAGGCATGCGTGAGCGTGTTTGATAGGAGTGAATGGAGACAATGGTTTTTTTTACTTGACGTGCTGTTGGAGTGTGAGCAAAGTAACATTTATGAAGGGGTTCGGGGAAAACCCCGGCAGGCCGAACTTGAGTCCTAGAGAGGGGGAAGTACAGTGCCTGCACTCTGAAGGAGGGGTGTTAATGTTGCAGTTTAAAACTGTAGTGTAAAACACCCTTCTGGCAAGACCGTGATGGAGTGAATGATGGTGAAAGTTTATCTTTTTCGGGCCACCCTGCCTTGGTGGGAATCGGCCAGTGTGATAATAAAAAAAAAAAAAAATAATATATATATATATATATATATATATAAAAATATATATTATTAATAAGAGAAAGAGAGAGAGAGAGAGAGAGAGAGAGAAAAGAGAGAGAGAGGAAGAGAGAGATGAGGGGGAGAGAGAGAGAGAGGAGAGAGAGAGAGAGAGAGAGAGAGAGAGAGAGAGGGGGAGAGAGAGGGAGAGAGTAGGGGAGAGAGAGAGGGGAAGAGAGAGAGAGAGAGGAGAGAGAGAGAGAGAGAATCTTCCAAGTGTATATATACACTGCTGTTATCAGTGCATACACACCAAGATATATTAATCAAACTAAAGCGGTGTATGGACACGTCACTCTGCGTCACATACATACCTTGGTTACCTCTGACCCAGAAGTTACAATCTTAACACATCCCGTGAGCATCAAGACAATTCTGAGGCGCTGACCAGGGAAGTGGAAATTATCGAACTTAAGTTAAAAGACTCTTACAGGAACCAGGAGAGACAGGAGGAGCTTAAAGCTATTAGTGAAGTTGAAAGAAATTCAAAATATTTCTTTTCATATGCCAAAAACAAGGCAAATACCACATCTAGTATCGGGCCCTTACTCAGACAGGATGGGACTTACACAGATGACAACAAGGAAATGAGTGAAATATTGAAATCCCAGTACGACTCTGTGTTTAGTGAACCACTAATCGGTCTGAGGATCGACGACCCAAATGATTTCTTCATGAATGAGCCTCAAAACTTCATAAATGTATGCCAGATTTCCGACATTACCCTAACTCCGATAGATTTCGAAAAAGCCATTGACAACATGCCCATGCACTCAGCCCCGAGCCCCGACTCGTGGAACTCTGTTTTCATTAAGAACTGCAAGAAACCCCTCTCGCGTGCCCTAAGTACACTATGGAGGAGGAGCTTGGACATGGGTGAAATTCCACAGTCACTTAAAACAACGGATATAGCCCCACTCCATAAAGGTTTGGGAGCAAAGCATTAGCTAAGAACTATAGACCAATAGCTCTGACGTCCCACATCATAAAAATCTTTGAAAGAGTGCTAAGAAGCAGGATTGCAAATCACCTGGATTCCCAAAATCTCCACAATCCAGGGCAACATGGGTTCAGGGCAGGTCGCTCCTGCCTCTCACAACTACTGGATCACCATGATATGGCCTTGGATGCACTGGAAGAAAATCAGAATGCAGATGTAATATACACAGACTTTGCAAAAGCATTTGACAAATGCGATCATGGTGTAATAGTCCATAAAATACGTGCTAAAGGAATAACTGGGAAAGTGGGGAGATGGGTCTTCAACTTCCTAACAAATCGAACACAAAGAGTCGTGGTCAACAGAGTTAAATCGGAGGCTGCCATAGTGAAGAGCTCTGTTCCACAAGGCACAGTACTCGCCCCCATCTTATTCCTTATCCTCATATCAGACATAGACAGAGATATACATCACAGCACCGTATCATCCTTTGCGGATGATACTAGGATCTGCATGAGGCTGTCATCTGCTGAGGACGCGGTTAACCTCCAAGAAGATATAAACAAAGTTTTCCAGTGGGCAACGGTAAACAAAAAGGATGTTCAATGATGACAAATTCCAACTACTCCGTTATGGAAAACTGGAGGAGATAATAACTAGAACAGAGTATACTACAGACTCTACCATACAATGAGCGAAAATAATGTAAGGACCTGGGAGTAGAATGTCTGGGATCTCACTTTCAAGGATCACAACAGTGCCAACGATCGCACGTGCAAAGAAAATGTTTAGGATGGATAATGAGAACGTTCAAAACGATAGATGCCAAGCCATGATGATCCTTTTCAAATAACTTGTTCTCTCTAGGCTGGAATACTGCTGTACATTAACATTTTCCCTTCAAAGCAGGTGAAATCGCAGATCTAGAGAGTGTACAGAGATCCTTTACTGCACGTAAAGTTCTGTCAACACCTTAACTACTGGGAACGCTTGGAAGCACTTGACTTGTACTCGTTGGAACGCAGGAAGAAGAGATTTTATCATAATCTACACTTGGAAAATCTTAGAAGGAATGGTCCCAAATTGCACACAGAAATCACTCCCCACGAAAGTAAAAGACTGGGCAGGCGATGCAAAAAGCCCCCAATAAAAAGTAGGGGCGCCATTGGTACACTAAGGGAAAACACCATAAGTGTCCGGGGCCCAAGACTGTTCAACAGCCTCCCATCAAGCATTAGGGGAATTGCCAATAAACCCCTGGCTGCCTTCAAGAGAGAGCTGGACAGATACCTAAAGTCAGTGCCGGATCAGCCGGGCTGTGGCTCGTACGTTGGACTGCGTGCGGCCAGCAGTAACAGCCTGGTTGATCAGGCCCTGATCCATCGGGAGGCCTGGTCATGGACCGGGCCGCGGGGGCGTTGATCCCCGGAATAACCTCCAGGTAAGGCGGGGGAAATCGTTTTTCTCAGCGCTAGGCGCTTACCCTCTCTTAATAAAAACTATGATGAGACCTTCACTAATTTAAGCGGTGGCGTCACGATCTTCCGAGGTAATGATTGGCTGGGGTAGGAGTGACGTCACGGTGTCCTGAGGTAATGATTGGCTGTGGTAGGAGTGACGTCACGATGTTCTGAGGTATTGGCTGGGGTAGGAGTGACGTCACGGTGTCCTGAGGTAATGATTGTCGTGGGATTGACGTCACGGTGTCCTGAGATAATGATTGGCTGGGGTAGGAGTGACGTCACGGTGTCCTGAGGTAATGACTGGCTGTGGCAGGAGTGACGTCACGATGTTCTGAGGCAATGATTGGTTATGATATAATAATAATACTGAACACAATGTTGACTCAAACATATGAGCGTAATGTTTGGTTATGGTAAGAGTGACATCACGGTGTTCTGCGGTAATGATTGGCTGTGGTAGGAGTGACATCACAGTGTTCTGCAGTAATGATTGGTTGTGGTAGGAGTGACGTCACGGTGTTATGGGGTAATGATTAGTTATGACAGCAGTGACATCACGGTGTTTTGAGGCAATGATTGGCTGATAGTGACGTCATGGTGTTCCGATGTAATGATTAACTGTGATAAGTGACGTTACAGTGTTCTGATTATTATAATCATGGGGGAGCGCTAAACTTGTAGGATTACACAGCGCACGTGGGGGGGATGGAAGGCATTCAGGTTCAATTCAGGGCACTGGAGCACAGACCCAATTCCCTAGATCAAGAGCCCCTCACCAGCGTCAAGGAACCTCCCTTGAGGGGTCACGGTGTTCTGAGGTAATGATTAGCCGTGACAGAAATAACGCCATTGTGTTCTGAGGTAGTGATTGGTTGTGGCAGGAGTGGTGCCACGGTGCTCTTGGGAGGGACAACTGAACTAAACTGGAAATTCGCTATGGTGTCCATCGGTGTTTGTTGGTCATGCAAGACTGAGTTTGTTGCAGCATGAACTTACACGACGTAATAATTCATGACAGACTGAGAACACAACGATAAATACGGAAGTGTAATTAACGATCAAAAATGTATTTAATCAAGGATTTCAAATATGATGAAATCGGCTAAATTACCCAGTTACGAATAAGTGAAATTACAGGATGGGCTGAATTTTATATGAAAAACGTGTAAAGAAAAAAGTCTGCCATTTTGGGTACAATGTTTTCTGTAGTTATGTGTACTAGCAAAGGTCTCAATGTTCATTATTTCAGCTTCTTTTATCGTAAAAAATAAAAATAAACGAATATGTTTACTCTGTATACGATGAAGCAGCTGTGTGTACATGGAGACCCAGTCAATGTTGCATTTAGAGAAGCGGATTTCCGCACGTTTAGTAAATCACATATAAATGGACATATCCTTAACAGGGTAAGTTGCAACATAAGCACCTTCCTGGTACTGAAACCAGGATACTTGTGATGGCGATCGGTATTTACATATGGGAAATCTAGATTTTCAACATTAGGGTGCTCACAGGCCTACCGTGTTACAATGGTAGTCACGGAACACAGGTTTACACCCTCCAAGAGGTTACAGTGATACAGCTACGGTACACAAACTTCCTTCTCCACAGGCCAAGAAGATGAACGTGGAGAGCCTGCGAGGCGTGGGAAGCAAAGAGGAACAAGAAAGGTCAGTAGAGATACGCATCGCTAAGGTGTGTATGGGCCTTTTCTTCATGTTCGTCGTCTCCTGGACACCCTACGCTGTCGTCGCCCTTATTGGAGCCTTCGGCGACAGGTAAGTGGCTAAGGGGGAGACAGGTGAGGGTGAGGGAGAAGCAGGGGTAGGAAGTACTGAGGGAGAAGCAGGGGTAGGAGATACTGAGGGAGAGGTGGTCCTGGAGGACAAGTGAGGTGGGGAGATAGCCTAATAACACTAATAATAATAATAATAATAATAATAATAATAATAATAATAATAATTATACGTTCACTTACAGGTCCAAGTTAACACCTCTCATCTCTATGCTTCCGGCTCTCAACTGCAAGTTTGTTGCTTGCATTGACCCCTGGGTGTACGCCATCAACCATCCCAGATACAGGTACGTACGCCATACGTACAGGTTACGTACAGCTAGCTACAGGTTTGTACCTCCAAGTGGAGGGATGAGCACCCAAGTACATGTCTATATTTCCTGTTGTAGAATCTTTTTGTAATTTCAACCAAAACGTGTGATACATAGTTCCCACTAAAACGTGAGATACATAACTCCTACTAAAACGTGATACGTAACTCTCACTAAAACGTGTGATACATAGCTCCCACTAAAACGTGATATATAATAGCTCCCACTAAAACGTGATACATAGCTCCCACTAAAACGTGATATATAATAGCTCCCACTAAAACGTGATACATAGCTCCCACTAAAACGTGATACATAGCTCCCACTAAAACGTGTGATACATAGTTCCCACTAAAACGTGATACATAGTTCCCACTAAAACGCTTGATACATAGTTCCCACTAAAACGTGATACATAGCTCCCACTAAAACGTGATACATAGTTCCCACTAAAACGTGATACATAGCTCCCGCTAAAACGTGATACATAACTCCCATTAAAACGTGAGATACATAACTCCCACTAAAATGTGTGATACATAGTTCCCAATAAAACGTGATACATAGTTCCCACTAAAACGCTTGATACATAGTTCCCACTAAAACGTGATACATAGCTCCCGCTAAAACGTGATACATAGCTCCCACTAAAACGTGATACATAATAGCTCCCACTAAAACGTGATACATAATAGCTCCCACTAAAACGTGATACATAGCTCCCGCTAAAACGTGATACATAGCTCCCACTAAAACGTGATACATAATAGCTCCCACTAAAACGTGATACATAGCTCCCACTAAAACGTGATACATAGTTCCCACTAAAACGTGATACATAGCTCCCACTAAAACGTGATACATAATAGCTCCCACTAAAACGTGATACATAATAGCTCCCACTAAAACGTGATACATAACTCCCACTAAAATGTGATACATAGCTCCCACTAAAACGTGATACATAGCTCCCACTAAAACGTGATACATAGCTCCCACTAAAACGTGATACATAATAGCTCCCACTAAAACGTGATACATAACTCCCACTAAAATGTGATACATAGTTCCCACTAAAACGTGATACATAGTTCCCACTAAAACGCTTGATACATAGTTCCCACTAAAACGTGATACATAGTTCCCACTAAAACGTGATACATAGCTCCCACTAAAGCGTGATACATAGTTCCCACTAAAACGCTTGATACATAGTTCCCACTAAAACGTGATACATAGCTCCCACTAAAACGTGATACATAGCTCCCACTAAAACGTGATACATAGCTCCCACTAAAACGTGATACATAGTTCCCACTAAAACGCTTGATACATAGTTCCCACTAAAACGTGATACATAGTTCCCACTAAAACGTGATACATAGCTCCCACTAAAACGTGATACATAGTTCCCACTAAAACGCTTGATACATAGTTCCCACTAAAACGCTTGATACATAGTTCCCACTAAAACGCTTGATACATAGTTCCCACTAAAACGCTTGATACATAGCTCCCACTAAAACGCTTGATACATAGTTCCCACTAAAACGCTTGATACATAGCTCCCACTAAAACGTGATACATAGTTCCCACTAAAACGCTTGATACATAGCTCCCACTAAAACATGATACATAGCTCCCACTAAAACGTGATACATAGCTCCCACTAAAACGTGATACATAGCTCCCACTAAAACGTGATACATAGTCCCATAAAACGTGATACATAGTTCCCACTAAAACGCTTGATACATAGTTCCACTAAAACTGATACATAGCTCCCACTAAAACGTGATACATAGTTCCCACTAAAACGCTTGATACATAGCTCCCACTAAAACGTGATACATAGTTCCCACTAAAACGCTTGATACATAGCTCCCACTAAAACGTGATACATAGCTCCCATAAAACGTGATACATTAGCTCCCACTAAAACGTGATACATAGTTCCCACTAAAACGCTTGATACATAGTTCCCACTAAAACGTGATACATAGTTCCCACTAAAACGTGATACATAGCTCCCACTAAAACGTGATACATAGTTCCCACTAAAACGCTTGATACATAGTTCCCACTAAAACGTGATACATAGCTCCCACTAAAACGTGATACATAGCTCCCACTAAAACGTGATACATAGTTCCCACTAAAACGCTTGATACATAGTTCCCACTAAAACGTGATACATAGTTCCCACTAAAACGTGATACATAGTTCCCACTAAAACGTGATACATAGCTCCCACTAAAACGTGATACATAGTTCCCACTAAAACGTGATACATAGTTCCCACTAAAACGCTTGATACATAGTTCCCACTAAAACGTGATACATAGCTCCCACTAAAACGTGATACATAGTTCCCACTAAAACGCTTGATACATAGTTCCCACTAAAACGTGATACATAGTTCCCACTAAAACGTGATACATAGCTCCCACTAAAACGTGATACATAGTTCCCACTAAAACGTGATACATAGCTCCAGTTTTCTGAATCTTTATTTCGTTGTTTTTAATGTTAGTATTATCTTTGTTATTATTATCTTTATCATCCACTTACTTATATTTTATATTTGATGTTCAGCCTAAGAAAATCTTCCTCACTTCATTATCACCATTAATACATTTATGGGGAAGCGCTAAACACGTGAGGTTTATATAGTGGAAGAGGAAATGAGAATTGGAGGCAGTCATGTTTGATCCAAGGAAGTTCAGGGTAGTTTTAATTCCCTGGATCAAGAGCCTTTCACCTCTTCAAGGTTCACCTTCTATTACAATTCACAGGCGTGTCCTGTTCTACAGTGCTGTATTCAGTTTGCATTTCAAATGCATTTGTTTTTTGTATGAAGCTTCTCTCAACATGAACCGTATAACCAAAATCGTGCCAAAGTCTAAAGGGTAAACCCTATAAAAATCTTCTTACATTGGGTAATTGTATTTATAAATGATAATTGTAATTACAGTTGTCACTGGCTGGTGACTCAAGTCTCTTACTTACCATACGTCAATGAAGAATGTCTTGACGTTGGTGAGTGTGCGTCGAATCTTTTATATGAGGTTATTTTATTAAAGTTGTCTTGTCAACACAAGTTGGTCTTCCTCAGGCTGGAACTACAGAAGCGTATGCCTTGGTTCTGCATCCACGAAGAGAAGCCACAGGACTCAATATCAATGTCCACCACCGACACCTTGGCCAAGACCTAGACCAGGAGGCAACCTGCAACGGACATCCAGCACCATACCAAGGACGATGCAACATCACCAAACAAAGGCCAACAGAGGACCCCAGCTCTATAGGATCAAGAAAACACGAAGAGACTTACCCAAACCCCAACAAACCAAAACTTCGACTCCACAAACCAAACTAAGACTTCGGCTCCACAAATCCACTGACACCCAGATCTCTTGTCCAAATTAAGATCGATTTGATCGTGCCAAAAATATATATGTTAGCAGGTCCTGCGGTGTGCAATAGTCTCAGAGAGTCTTATCATGCAAAGATAGTTTCAAAAGGAAGAATTCATTGGTAGAGTAGCGTCCAGTCATCCCGTCATGTTGATAGCAGCCTTCAAACGCACTAGGACTGAAAGACATTCCTAAATGAGGCAAGGGGAACCCTTATGCTCTTAAAATGGAACATAAAATGGAGGTAGCAGGAGTTTCGATTGCTGTCCTGTTTAGAAGCTGTGCTAGGATTGGTTCTATGTTTAGTAAGCCATACCCCTCCCAGCACTCTCCTAGCCTGGCACCGCTGCTCTGTCTGCTCATCCACTAAAAGACTCCTAGCATGTTCTCAGAACCTCTCCCTTCAACCCTTGAAATAAATTCCCAGCAAATCAAAAAATATTTTTAGTATTTTCCCCTGACTTTAGAATTACTTATAATGTTACCTCTATTCTATTTAACAGCGCCTTCCTGAGCTTATACGTATTATGAATTATACATTTAACAACGGTGGAAGGTGGACCAAAGACATGACGTGGGGATGTAGGTAAAAAGCAGGTTGTATCCTGTAATGTAGTATTGTCTACCGTAATTTTAAAGTACAAATAAAAACATAAATGTATACACTTTGGGCACCTTAATTGAAGACTTTTCGGGACCTTGATTAAATCAGATTCGATGTATATGCAGTAATCAAGGTCCAAACAAGGATAAGTTTCAATTAAGGTATCCAGAGTATATTATTATTATTATTATTATTATTATTATTATTATTATCAAAAAAGAAGCGCTAAACCACAAGGGCCATGTCCAGAGTATAAGCATTGTATTCTTTTCCCTCCAAGTCATCGACACTTACTGCCTTCATACTACCAGTAATTTAAAGTGTGGGAATCACCATTTCTTCAGAGAAACGTCGTAGAAATTGCGTCCTGTTGGAGAGATTATTCCCAAGATGACACACGTGTAATTCCTATGTTCCAAGCAGCATTTGAGCGTGTATAATTTCCACAACAGGACAATTTCTACGACATGCACTCAAGAAATGACAGGAAGCAGAGTTGCGAAATTCTGTATATTTTAGGCAAATACACAGGATAGACCTTGGAACTCAGCAACCGCAACTTTTCTTATATCTTCTTTTATTCCAATGTAATAGTCACATACAAGGCTAGTATCTACGAAAGCTCAGAAAGACTAGGATTCACCGACAGAGCTTAAGAGAGTAAAAAGAGACTTCAGGCTGATAGGTAATTGAACACTAGCATGCGAGGGTGGAGGAACTGTAGGAGATAGGAACATTAAAGCGAGTCACTAGGAGGAAAATTCTGTAGCTGAGAGATGGCCAAAAGTGTGTGGGTGTTGCAACAATCATAGGAGTGTGTGGAGGCGGTGCAACAATCATAGGAGTGTGTGGAGGCGGTGCAACAATCATAGGAGCGTGTGGAGGCGGTGCAACAATCACAGGAGCGTGTCAAAGTATTGCAACAATCATACCTGCTTGTGGAGGTCGGGCAACACAATCACCACTATACTGAAATGATGCAGTACAATCACCAGCGTCTGAGGATGACGCAACAATGACCACCACGTGACGGCCTTGCGTCACAGGTCCTGCATCACAACAACGAACGTTCATTCGGGTAGGATAAGGTTAGATAAACATCTACATTTCATCACTATGAATAGTTTTATAATACATATACATATAATTATATATATATATATATATATATATATATATATATATATATATATATATATATATATATATATATATCATAAATAACTCTAATATATAATAATTCCAGCGTTCGTGCCGAATAGCAAAAGCTTGCGATCATTGGCTTAAATAGCAACCTCACTATGCCATATAGGTACAATGACGGGCGAAACTTGTGTATGCAATCATTTCGCCCAAAATCATTCTAACCTAAGAAAAATATTATTCACTGTGTTTGTTGTAGTTAACTATTTAAACAATCTAAAATTATTTAGTTGGTTAGCTAAAATAAATCTATTCTTGTTATAAAAAGGTATAGGTAATTTTGTCTAAGCTTTTTTGGTCAAAATGAAATTTTTTTAGATTAACATTAATGAAAAATATATTCTTTAAACGTATAAAAAAATTTAGAAAGACTTAATTTTAAATGAGTTTTTTGATACTTGACGAGTTTTACATATTCGGCACGACATATAATATATATAATTTTATATAATATATATATATATATATCAATATTTATTATATATATATATATAATATATATATGCAAAACAACCACTCTGAAAGAATAGAGAAATTCCAAGCGCTTTCGTGACTACTCACATTATCAGGAACTATGAAAGTAAAGCATCCAAGGAAGCTATATAAGGGGTCTGGCAGCACCTCACTATCAGATCCCACAACGTTAACACCTGACGCGCGCCGACCAACTTGGATAGGTCCTTGCACAACTCACCCACAAACTATTCTACCCAGAAAATTTAAAAATTATTGTCCAGTGTATTATTAAATTCTTCCAAATTCTATTAATTATAAATGGATCTAATTTTATAAACCAAAGGAAATATTCATATTATTGTCAAAACTGCTTTTTATGAAACAAGATTCAATTATATTCCTGTCGACCATGGACTTGCTTGAAACTACTTTCTAACTTTTTGAAAATCATTTGGGATGGTTAAAATCTCTTACATGAATAAATAGAGCATTGGAATCTTGTCCAGTTCTAATGCTATATTTATGTTGTTTTAATCTTAGTTCGAGATTTTTACCAGTTTGACCGTAATAAACTTTATCGCAAATTTTACAAGGAATCTTATAGACACATCCATCAGCATTTTGGGGGGAATTCTTTATCAAAAGTTTTTTTTACTGTAATCAAGATTTTGAATACAACTTTAATATTAAAAGTCTAAGAAGAGAAGGCATATCAACCAAGTTTTCATGTAAGGGAGAACCAACATATTTTTAGTTGAATAAGGCTGGTTGTCCCTTTTTGGATTGTAAAAAGTATTTCTAGCAACTTTAAAAGATTTATCAATTACATTTCTTGGGTATTTTAAATCATTACCTATTTCATAAATTTTGGATATTTCCTCATCTATGAACTCAGGACTACAAATTCGTAAAGCTCTCAGAAACATTGATGAGAAAACAGACAGTTTGACTCTATCTTGATGCGAGGAATAATAGTGGACATAGGAACAGTTATTTGTAGGTTTTCTGTAAATTTTAAATTTGAATTCATTATTACCCTTAATAATTAAAATATCTAGAAAAGGCAATGAGTTATTTTCTTCAAGCTCAACAGTAAAGTTTATAGAATGGGCTAAGCTATTTAATTTTCCTAGGAAATGGTGTATATCTACATTTTTGGGCATAAGACACAAAATATCATCAACATATCTGAACCATTTAGCTCTATTAGGGAGGATTGTGTTAAGTAACCTTGTTTCAAAAAATTCCATGTATAGGTTACTAAGAACAGGTGAAAGAGGGTTTCCCATTGCCATACCAAACTTCTGAGTGTAAAACTTATTAAATACAAATTTTGCATCAACAATGCAAAGTTTAATAAGTTTAATGATAGTAGGAACTGGCAATGGTAAATCATAGTTAACGAGTTCTTCAGATAAGAAACTTAATAAATCATCAACAGGAACTTTTGTAAACAAGGAAGTAACATCAAAACTAACCATGTTAAAATCATTTAAGTCAGTCAAGGAGCTTAATTTATCAACCAAGTCTATGTTGTTTTTAACATTAAAGTTAGAAATTTTGCCAACAATAGGGCTCAAAATATCAACAAGCCATTTAGATAATTTATATGAAACTGACCCTATGGAGCTAATAATTGGTCTGACTGGATTCCCTGGTTTGTGTGTTTTTATTAGTCATCTTTGCCTTACATGTATGGACTAATAAAAACACACAAACCAGGGAATCCAGTCAGACCAATTATTAACTCCACAGGGTCAGTTTCATATAAATTATCTAAATGGCTTGTTGATATTTTGAGCCCTATTGTTGGCAAAATTTCTAACTTTAATGTTAAAAACAACATAGACTTGGTTGATAAATTAAGCTCCTTGACTGACTTAAATGATTTTAACATGGTTAGTTTTGATGTTACTTCCTTGTTTACAAAAGTTCCTGTTGATGATTTATTAAGTTTCTTATCTGAAGAACTCGTTAACTATGATTTACCATTGCCAGTTCCTACTATCATTAAACTTATTAAACTTCGCATTGTTGATGCAAAATTTGTATTTAATGATAAGTTTTACACTCAGAAGTTTGGTATGGCAATGGGAAACCCTCTTTCACCTGTTCTTAGTAACCTATACATGGAATTTTTTGAAACAAGGTTACGTAACACAATCCTCCCTAATAGAGCTAAATGGTTCAGATATGTTGATGATATTTTGTGTCTTATGCCCAAAAATGTAGATATACACCATTTCCTAGGAAAATTAAATAGCTTAGCCCATTCTATAAACTTTACTGTTGAGTTTGAAGAAAATAACTCATTGCCTTTTCTAGATGTTTTAATTATTAAGGGTAATAATGAATTCAAATTTAAAATTTACAGAAAACCTACAAATAACTGTTCCTATGTCCACTATTATTCCTCGCATCAAGATAGAGTCAAACTGTCTGTTTTCTCATCAATGTTTCTGAGAGCTTTACGAATTTGTAGTCCTGAGTTCATAGATGAGGAAATATCCAAAATTTATGAAATAGGTAATGATTTAAAATACCCAAGAAATGTAATTGATAAATCTTTTAAAGTTGCTAGAAATACTTTTTACAATCCAAAAAGGGACAACAAACCTTATTCAACTAAAAATATGTTGGTTCTCCCTTACCATGAAAATTTGGTTGATATGCCTTCTCTTCTTAAGACTTTTAATATTAAAGTTGTATTCAAAAATCTTGATACAGTAAAAAAACTTTTGATAAAGAATTCCCCCAAAATGCTGATGGATGTGTCTATAAGATTCCTTGTAAAATTTGCGATAAAGTTTATTACGGTCAAACTGGTAAAAATCTCGAACTAAGATTAAAACAACATAAATATAGCATTAGAACTGGACAAGATTCCAATGCTTTATTTATTCATGTAAGAGATTTTAACCATCCAATTGATTTTCAAAAAGTTGAGAAAGTAGTATCAAGCAAGTCCATGGTCGACAGGAATATAATTGAATCTTGTTTCATAAAAAGCAGTTTTGACAATAATATGAATATTTTCTTTGGTTTATATAAATTAGATCCATTTATAATTAATAGAATTTGGGAAGAATTTAATAATACACTGGACAAATAATTTTTAAATTTTCTTGGGTAGAATAGTTTGTGGGTGAGTTGTGCAAAGGACCTATCCAAGTTGGCTCGCCGCGCGTCACGTGTTTAACCGTTGTGGGATCTGATAGTGAGGTGCTGGCCGGACCCCTTATATAGCTTCCTTGGATGCTTTACTTTCATAGTTCCTTGATAATGTGAGTAGTCACGAAAGCGCTTGGAATTTCTCTATTCTTTCAGAGTGGTTGTTTTGCATATTCTGAAATCACCTGTTTACTGTGATCTTATTGCATATATATATATATATTATAAAAATATATATATATCTATATATATATATATATATATATATATATATATATATATATATATATATAAATATAATATTTATTTATATATTAATGTCGTGTCGAATAGGTAAAACTTGCAATTTTGGCTTAAATAGCAACGATCTTCTTGCCGAATAAGGCAAGCGAAAATTTGTGTATGCAATAATTTCAGAAAATTCCTCCGAACCTAACGAAAAAATATATTTCATTGTATTTATTATTAAACTATTGTAAACTTATTTAAAATATATTTAGCTGAATTAGGCTAAATTAGATTGCGATTGTTATAATAAGGTCAGGTAAAGTTTCTAAGGTGCTTTTGGTACAACATTATTTATTTTTTACATTTACATAAATGAAAAAAAATGTATCTTTAAACGTATAAGAATTTTTTTTTTAGAAAGGACTTAATTTTAAATGAATTCTTACTAATTGACCAGTTTTTACGTATTCGGCACGACATACACACACAACACACACACACACACACAACACACACACACACACACACACACACACACACACACACACACACACACACACACACACACACACTAATCGACATGTGCCTAGGACAAAATGGTAACTAACACACACACTGAATTTACATTATACAAAAACAATTTTATATACAATGTTTAAAAATTTAAACCAAGTGTAAAAAAATGGCAGGTTTTTTTTTTTACTTGCAAAGTTTGTTACCTAAGTGTAGGAACACATCCCATCCCTCATCCCACTGAGATGTTCGAGGTACTAGGTGCCACTGAGACATTCCACTCTACAACCCACTCTCAACCCCCTACCCCACTGAGCTCAATGTTCCAGGTTCCAGGGTGACGTGTAAAATATTGAAACATCAATTTCTCCTGATTTTTTTCAACATAACCAAGAATAACAACCTGTTTAAGAAACCAAGCTGCGTTTCCAGCATGGGTTCACAGTTACCAAGACCACTGAAACAAACAGTTACTTCAGCACGCCCAGGAGTTGCCATCACAGTAACGCCATGGACCAGACTGGCGTCTCTGTAAGACTATGACTGAACCAGTTGGGTACCTTAGTGAGTCTATGAACAACTGGAACCATTAGCAGGACTGGTTCTTCAGCTTGGCCAAAAACTTCAAGGCTTCGTTCCCACAGCCGTAGACCAGCTGACGCTCCGACACCTTCGTCAGGAACTTAGTGGAATAGTGGTACCTGTGAAAAGAAAAACATGAATAATGACACCTGTGGAAGATAAAATATAGACTGAAAACAATAATCGGGTGATAAAATTTTGGTTGAGAACCTCAACTCACGATCAAGGCTACGAGATTGTCCACTTTCTATCAAGGCTGAGAAACTGACCACCTTCTATCAAGGTTGAGAAACTGATTGCATCACCTGTCTCCATTTTGTATGCTCTGTGCTGAACTGAAGAAGTCAGTGGATAGCAAGATATCGTCAAAATAGATACCCAGGCGCTGCACATGAATCTTATTTATCTTATAATTATTTCAGAGTTCCAAGGAGATTTATAAGACACCCGAGACAACAACAACAAAAAAAATTCATGCCAGCTGAAAACACGAAGAGTTGTTTATCACTTTTAAGAGTTGTTTACACTAACACTTTTACGTAGTTGTTTGTTATCACTTTTATGTACAGTTGTTTACGGTTATTTCACGTCGAGCTGACTGGTTAGTTAATGGGGTTTAAAGCCTTTCGATTATACGAGGGTCATCATACACAAAAAACCACATGTCACATACAGGCTAAAATTAACCCAACCCACTGAAAATTAAATAAGAAATTTAATATTTATCAAAAGAATTCCCTAAAATTTCTCCGAGGTCCCAAAACGCACCATGGCAGGCATAAAAAAAAATCAAACAGAAAATGAAATGGTTGAAGTCACTGACAAACTGTTGAAATACGTGACACGTACCAGGCTTCCATCATGCTGTATACCCTACAAGTGAATTTGTGTGCCTTAGCTTATCTGTTGTAGAAACGGCTCTGAATACAAGACCATTTTCCCTCATTAAATACGTCAATATGTTTGTTCAGGAGTACACTGTATGAAAATTCATCGTTGTTGCATCAAACAATAAAAAATAAGGTAACCAGACCTCTTAAGATCACAATTTTATAAGGAGAAGAATATACATTATTTGGTAGTCTTAAGTATCTTCGATAATTTATTAGGTACGGAGAAAATAACACATCACTCTGCCTGTAGTTCAGTGTTGATGTTTGACTCGTAGATAATTAAATATAACAACTGTTTTAAAGTTGGAAATTTAAAACATAAATGATGAGATAGATAACGCTATACTTTCAGAAATTTGTAGTGTAATGAACAGTATAAATAATAACGATTATATTAAAAATAAGAATGCCTCCAACCTTCTTGTTGGTATGTCAGGAGTCACAAGATAACCAGCAATGTGCACTGAGTTTTTCCTGAAGCTGTAGTAATGTTGCTTTAAGAAGCTGAGTTACTGCTGCTTTAGTCATTTTCCGTTTAAAAGACGTGTTACATGCATTATAACATAAATTTCATTTATATCTAATGACAGTTATGATACAACAAAGGTATAAGCTCACATTCATTTATGTTAAATTTTGCTTAATTAAACCCTTTCCATCATGTCTCATACACTAGTAATTCATTCTTGCAGCCCTTGGCTGTGAATAAATTAATCCGAAACCTCACAATTAGTGGTGTTTCTCAATGTATAATGTAGAGTCCATCTGAGTCTTTGTCAATGTCATCTATAAACTATGAGTACACTAGACTAGACTTCAACAATAAACACATTTTACCACATAACAGCTGGTCCTTCAAGCCAAATATATTCTGGTTCTTTCAAACAAATCTTATTTCAGCTGGCAGTCGCGGATTACATTATGATCCCAACTGAGAGATTCCTGGAGATGTATAAGAAGAATGCCACGCACTACATCCAGTCTCTCCTTTCAGAAATTATTTCATATAGTACTATAGTGGCTAAGGAAAAGTTCCCCAAAATTAGGTTCCTTAACGCCGGTGAGAGGCTCTGCAGTCAAGCAAATGGATCTAAACTGCTCATCCTTTGATCGAACCTTATCACCCTACGGGTTTGGAGCTTCCTCTATGAATTAAAAAAAATAGAAATTCACACAGGATGACAACTTTTGTGCTTAGATGGAAATGCAAAGTTGTGAGCCCAACTAAATACTTTCCCGACACACTAATGCTTCAAGGAGCTTCTCGGTTATTATAATTGACAACTACAACAACATACAGAAAAGCTAAGCTCATCTTTAAGAGAACTGGATAACTGGCCTGAAAGCTTGGTAGAGTTCTTATAGGATGACTGACCTGAGAGCTCTGGCAAAGTTATTGTAGGAAAGGTTGGGTTTGCTGGAGCGGGTTCCCCACATGCGGGCGATCTCCTGAGGCTGTACCAGTCTGAAGGTGGCCGCAGCCTCGTCCTCCCACCGGATCACTGAAGGATTGGTCGCCTCGTCAGCCAGAAGACGCATCAGGAACTCCCAAGACTTGGGTCCTCGATCTGCGTAATACTGACAGGTTCTAAACATTTCCTGCGTACAACTAGATGGCCTATCCTTATCTGTTCACGCAATCTCTGCAGCATCCCGACCATCTTTATAGTAAAGCTAACCATATGTTGATTCACAGGACTATTTTAAAAGCAGCATGCAATTACGAAAAAATAAAAAGTCATAGCGTGTAGCACATCAGGTACAGATGCAACTAAAGGTTTAGTAGGACTTTAGGTACAAGTGTTGGCACACACGTCGTTGCTGGCAGAGGTGCAGATGTATTTCCAGTATCACAGAGAATCTACACACTCAACACTCACTTCGTTTTCTTTTCGTGGAGATTTTCTTGAGGGAGTCATGGGTTCCTTGACTGTCTTCATCCATTGGCTCCTGAGCATCAATCTCTGAAGATAAACAAACGAGTACAATGTAATGTTTTCCTCCTTCAAGATGTCTGCCTGTATAGCCCTTGTGGCTTAGCGCTTCTTTTTGATTATAATAATAATAATACTAATGTCTACAAAGGTATACTTAGTAAGAAAAACTGTATATCGCACCCATGAAGGTATACAAATCTGTAAGAAGTATTACCATGTATTTGAGTTGAAAGTGATATTTTGTTTCAAGAATGTTAAACTGCAATTTTTATATAACTAATATTATGCAGATTTTTTTTTATTTTTTCTGTATGCAGGTTTTAATAATTATTATTGAATTATAAGCGTGTACACCGTTGAACATTTTATTACATTTTGCACTTAGTTGCGCCAGGCAAAGCTCTGCTCACGAGAAAGTGGACAAAAAATAGTAATATTTAGGCCTGAGCGATTCGTGACAGGGTAAACAAGGCCGATGAAGTATACATGTCACATATTTAATATACTGATACAAACGGACAATGAAAAACAACTGAATTAGGACAGCTTCTTTACAATGACTAGTTCTTCTTACACTTTATATACAACTATTAAGCTACATCACGTCCGGGTGTAGCTATGTGCTCCCAGGTGGCTGTATTTAGTGCACGCATAGCCAAGGCTGATATCAAGACACGGTGTGCCTCATTTATAGAAAATATCCTTGGATTTTTTTTTTTGCCAGATCATCATGATAACTCAAGTGAAGAACATTATCGTCGAATTACATACCTGACTGCGAAGACGCACGTGCAACCAAATTTAAAATAGAGAATATGGTATTTGGAAGTTTAGAGGAAGCGTTAAGAAAGTGACGTTGGCCACCTCACAAGACAATTGGCCTGATAAATGAGAGCAGATTGTTGAAGGAAAAGTTTAACTCACTTGCTGCCAGGCGAAGATCCATTGCTTCCTCCTCCAGGTCAATTACGAGAGCTCCTTCTTCCGGAGAGTTGGTGCGACTGTTATAGATGTCCGTATAGGATTGGCTGTAGAACTCACGGTCGGGGTGACCATAGGATTTTTGATTGGTGTGGCTGTGGGCATCCTTCGGGGTTGTGTTGTACTGGTGTTCATGGACGTTGTTGCAAGGACGAACGTGGCTATAAGATTTCTGGTAGGTATCTATGGAAGCATTCTGATGTGTGTGACTGTAGGCAGTCTTTGGGCTTACACTATATTGGTCATAGTGGATGATATTGCAACCATCCTGATGAGTGTGACTGAAGGACTCCTGCTTCAGGCCGGGGATGTATGGGTCTTGCTGGACGTGAGGTGGGTGTATGGACCAGTGGACGTGACCCTCTGAATGCGCTTGGCTGGGGTAATGACTGTGATTTTCTTGAGGGTCGATTTTACCTTCCCATGAACTTGGAATGACCTGTGGCCGGTAGGATCTGACGGGAGACTGGTGCGAAGTCGGATGAGCACTATGATAAGTCACAGGGGTGAGGGTTATGTAGGACATTGGCGAGGGAGTTTCATAGGACGCTGGTGAGAAACTCCCGCTGGATCTGGGTGAAGTGTTCTCGTAGGACCTGGGTGAAGGTATGCTTGAATCAGGTGAGTGTTGGTCCTGGCATTGTAATGGAGAGTGCATCTGGTCCTCATATGGTGATCTGGAGGACATCCGGTCTTGATGTGGTGACCTGGAGGATGTTCTTCTTGGGTATGGTGACAGAGAAAGCATCCGGTCCATGTGTGGAGACATATCAGTCATCCGGTCATGATGTGGTGACCTATTCAACAGCTGATCATGATGTGATCTATTTAACAGCCGGTCTTGGTGTGGTGATCTATTTAACAGTCGGTCTTGGTGCGGTGAACTAGAGGATTTCGGGCTTGGGTATGGTGACTGAGAAGACGCCCGGTCCAAGTATGGTGACATAGGGGCCACTTGCTCTGGATGTGGTGATCTAGTCAAAATCCGATCTTGGTGTGGTAATCTATTCAAAATCCGATCTTTATATAGTGATATGGAAGAAACAGAATCTTCATACAGTGGCCTAGTGGCTAAATGACCTTCATTTAGTGAACTGGATGTTACTCGGCCACTTTCTGATACTAAAACGGACTTCCGGCCTTCAGGCAGCGATCTAGGTGATAGTTGTAGCAGTTTGGGGGACAGACAGGTCCCCTGAGATTGGTGTAATGATGCAGATGATGGTAGATCTTGGTGTAATGATGCAGACAATGTCGCAGAGGGATTCGGCATTTGATCTGACGCGGGGTGGACATGGTTTTGAGGTGGTGGGGCAGCAGAGACAGTGGGCTGGAGTGATGGATCCAGGGACACTTGGTCTTGACCTAATGAAGAGAAGTACTTTCTTTTCTTTACGGGCCATTTTCCTTGACTGGTGGAACTCATAACAGCCAGTGTCCTGTTCAGCTCTTTCTTGTCCTCCTCACACTCTCGCTGACTCTCTCTTGCTTATTTAATTCCTCTCTAACAGTTCTCTTCCGTAAGTTTAGTGCCTCGCCGATAGTTTCTTTGTTAAGTTAATATCTCCGACTGCACACAACAGTCTGTGGATGACAGGAAATCAATGACTGGTGTGTTTACTGACTGGGGCTTTTTCCATTCCAATGTTGTGTACACCAAATATTCCTGAAAAAGGAAAGGAAATTATCATTTCAGTGTGTGTCTTCTAAGAAAACGATATATATGATATGTGATACAGACATATACAATTTTATGCTTTCGCACAACTGGGCTACTGGACCGAATAAAAGACAACGATGCAAAACATCACTCAATAAAGACAGATCTTACACGTATGCTTTATCCCGTTAGTTGAAAATTCTCCTGGCATCCCACCAGTGCAACTGTTGAAGCTGTCGGACGTAGTGAAGTCACACAACTTACATGTTTGTCATTATTCTGACATTGCATCACAGAAGTACTGATGCCGGACAAAATTTAAATATATGTGCATGGAATAATTACAAAAATTTAAGAAGAATGTATGAAACATTAAAAAGTAAATATTTACACATTATGTAAAATGCACAGAGAGCAGCGCCTTAATTAGAGAGCAGCGTTTTTCAACAGAGAGCAGCTCGGTTCCCAGAACACACGTATCACCAGTGAGGGTAGAGGAGAGGTCAGTGGCAGACAGATAACTCAAAGTTCTTCCCAAGACTGAAGAACACAACCAGTAGGTGCCAACCAAGGGTACTATATATTGCTCACAGTAAGGACGTTGACTATTAATTACTTGTTGCGCAGTACAGCCGTGGTGGTTTTAAAAGACGAATCACATACATCCTGGTGAATTTGTGAATGATGAACAATAAGCGTTTCTTACATATTTTCATTTCGCTCTCATATTAAATCTTAGTTTTAAAGACATGGGCTTCGCAGCTCGGCCGATGTCTGACTCGTTTGAGAAACAGAATATCAAAAGATGGACACTTGTGACATTTTTTGACAGACTAACATTTTTTTCAAAAGATACTATTATACATCCAGAACTCGACATATCATTTATGTACACAGATTCCTCCTTTGTGATAGACGTTGAACACTGTACAGATAAATGCTTTGTTGATTATAGGTGAAAATCAAGTCCTTGACGTAAGATACATCTGTTGAATGTATATTGATTTAAAGATAGTGAGAGAGAAAGAAGAATACTTCTTGTTCATAAGTACTAAAATACAATATAGTGACTGCGAATGGGGTAGGAAGCGTAGCTGGGTTACGTCAGCGGATGTTGAATGACTGAGAAGTTGTTTGACGAACACCCACGTAACCATACACCCACGTCACCGTACACCCACGTCACCGTACACCCACGTCAACATACACCCACGTCACCGTACACCCACGTCAACATACACCACCGTCACCGTACTCCCACGTAACTATACACCCACGTCACCGTACAAGACCCTCATCATCACTAAGGATAATAACACACAAATATCTATTGGAAGACAGATTTTATTACATAAGTATCTATCACCACCTTCCTAACCTGAATCTACAGACCAGATTTCCACACGACTCAACGCGTGCAACACGATGGTGAATTTATTCCTAAAATAATTATATCCAAGTGTGGCTCATGTGTCTTAATCATCAACTTGTCCATGGCGTGTACCATTATTTTAGTAAAACGACTCACATATTAGTGGGAAACACTAACCTGATTCAGACATGATAACGTACCAAAACACGGAGAAATGTAAGTTTCTTGGCATATATACGCTCAAAGCCTAACTAATCCTCTATTTCAGGGATTCAAGTATTCTTGACTGGGGGTGAATAGGTTGCATGTAGTGTTGATGACTCTCGTGTAGCCGACAGGGTTCAAACCCTATTAACCAACCTACCAGTGAACACATGAATACTTTGAGGTGTGGACAAGAGTTTTAGCAGTTAGGTTAGACTGTTGAGAGAAGCTGAGGATCACTGTTGAGAGAAGCTAGGGACCACAGCTGAGAGCAGCTAGGGACCACAACTGAGAGCAGCTAGGGGCTACTGCTGAGAGTAGTTAGGGACCACAGCCGAGAGCAGCTAGGGACTACAGCTGAGAGCAGCTAGGGGCCACAGCTGAGAGCAGCTAGGGGCCACAGCTGAGAGCAGCTAGGGGCCACAGCTGAGAGCAGCTAGGGGCCACAGTTGAGAGCAGCTAGGGGCCACAGATGAGAGCAGCTAGGGGCCACAGCTGAGAGCAGCTAGGGGCCACAGCTGAGAGCAGCTAGGGGCCACAGCTGAGAGAAGCTAGGGGCCACAGCTGAGAGCAGCTAGGGACCACAGCTGAGAGCAGCTAGGGACCACAGCTGAGAGCAGCTAGGGACCACAACTGAGAGCAGCTAGGGGCTACAGCTGAGAGTAGTTAGGGACCACAGCCGAGAGCAGCTAGGGACTACAGCTGAGAGTAGTTAGGGACCACAGCCGAGAGCAGCAAGGGACTACACCTGAGAGAAGCTAGGGGCCACAGCTGAGAGCAGCTAGGGGCCACAGCTGAGAGAAGCTAGGGGCCACAGCTGAGAGCAGCTAGGGGCCACAGCTGAGAGCAGCTAGGGGCCACAGTTGAGAGCAGCTAGGGGCCACAGATGAGAGCAGCTAGGGGCCACAGCTGAGAGCAGCTAGGGGCCACAGCTGAGAGCAGCTAGGGGCCACAGCTGAGAGAAGCTAGGGGCCACAGCTGAGAGCAGCTAGGGACCACAGCTGAGAGCAGCTAGGGACCACAGCTGAGAGCAGCTAGGGACCACAGCTGAGAGCAGCTAGGGACAGCAGCTGAGAGCAGCTAGGGACCACAGCTGAGAGCAGCTAGGGACCACAACTGAGAGCAGCTAGGGACTACAGCTGAGAGTAGTTAGGGACCACAGCCGAGAGCAGCTAGGGGGCACAGCTGAGAGCAGCTAGGGGGCACAGCTGAGAGCAGCTAGGACCAAAACTGAGAGAAGCTAAGGACCACAGCTGAAAGCAGCTAGGGACCACAGCTGAGAGGAGCTAGGGGACCAAAGCTGAGAGCAGCTAGGGGGCACAGCTGAGAGCAGCTAGGGGGCACAGCTGAGAGCAGCTAGGATCAAAACTGAGAGAAGCTAAGGACCACAGCTGAAAGCAGCTAGGGACCACAACTGAGAGCAGCTAGGGGCTACAGCTGAGAGTAGTTAGGGACCACAGCCGAGAGCAGCTAGGGACTACAGCTGAGAGTAGCTAGGAGCCACAGCTGAGAGCAGCTAGGGGGCACAGCTGAGAGCAGCTAGGGGGCACAGCTGAAAGCAGCTAGGACCAAAACTGAGAGAAGCTAGGGTCCACAGCTGAGAACAGCTAGGAGACCAAAGCTGGGTACAATAATAGTTCTCTTCAACTTGAAGAGGCAGTGACCATCATCTCATGGTGATTCGCGGGGCTCCCAACCTCGGCAGGTCCCAACCTCGGCAGGTCCCAACCTCGGCAGGTCCCAACCTCGGCAGGTCCCAACCTCGGCAGGTCCCAACCTCGGCAGGTCCCAACCTCGGCAGGTCCCAACCTCGGCAGGTCCCAACCTCGGCAGGTCCCAACCTCGGTAGATCCCAACCTCGGCAGATTCCAACCTCGGCAGGTCCCAATCTCGGCAGGTCCCAACCTCGGCAGGTCCCAACCTCGGCAGGTCCCAACCTCGGCAGGTCCCAACCTCGGCAGGTCCCAACCTCGGTAGATCCCAACTAGGGGGCACAGCTGAAAGCAGCTAGGACCAAAACTGAGAGAAGCTAGGGTCCACAGCTGAGAACAGCTAGGAGACCAAAGCTGGGTACAATAATAGTTCTCTTCAACTTGAAGAGGCAGTGACCATCATCTCATGGTGATTCGCGGGGCTCCCAACCTCGGCAGGTCCCAACCTCGGCAGGTCCCAACCTCGGCAGGTCCCAACCTCGGCAGGTCCCAACTCGGCAGGTCCCACCTCGGCAGGTCCCAACCTCGGCAGGTCCCAACCTCGGCAGGTCCCAACCTCGGCAGGTCCCAACCTCGGTAGATCCCAACCTCGGCAGATTCCAACCTCGGCAGGTCCCAATCTCGGCAGGTCCCAACCTCGGCAGGTCCCAACCTCGGCAGGTCCCAACCTCGGCAGGTTCCAACCTCGGCAGGTCCCAACCTCGGCAGGTCCCAACCTCGACAGATGCCAACCTCGTCAGATGCCAACCTCGACAGATGCCAACCTCGACAGATGCCAACCTCGACAGATGCCAACCTCGACAGATCCCAACCTCGACAGATCCCAACCTCGACAGATCCCAACCTCGACAGATGCCAACCTCGACAGATCCCAACCTCGACAGATCCCAACCTCGACAGATGCCAACCTCGACAGATGCCTCCCTCGACAGATCCCAACCTCGACAGATCACAACCAGGACAGATCCCAACCTCGACTGATCCCAACCTCGACAGATCCCAACCTCGACAGATCACAACCAGGACAGATCCCAACCTCGACTGATCCCAACCTCGACAGATCCCAACCTCAACAGATCACAACCTCGACAGATCACAACCTCGACAGATAACAACCTCGACAGATCCCAACCTCGACAGATCCCAACCTCGACAGATCCCAACCTCGACAGATCCCAACCTCGACAGATCCCAACCTCGACAGATCCCAACCTCGACAGATCCCAACCTCGATAGATCCCAACCTCGACAGATCCCAACCTCGACAGATGCCAACCTAGACAGATGCCAACCTCGACAGATGCCAACCTCGACAGATGCCAACCTCGACAGATGCCAACCTCGACTGATCCCAACCTCGACAGATCCCAACCTCAACAGATCACAACCTCGACAGATCCCAACCTCGACAGATCCCAACCTCGACAGATCCCAACCTCGACAGATCCCAACCTCGACAGATCACAACCTCGACAGATCCCAACCTCGACAGATGCCAACCTCGACAGATGCCAACCTCGACAGATGCCAACCTCGACAGATCCCAACCTCGACAGATCCCAACCTCGACTGATCCCAACCTCGACAGATCCCAACCTCGACAGATGCCAACCTCGACAGATGCCAACCTCGACAGATGCCAACCTCGACAGATCCCAACCTCGACAGATCCCAACCTCGACAGATCCCAACCTCGACAGATCCCAACCTTGACAGAT